TGTGTCTACCAGTTCCGAAAAGCCAGGGGTAGGGGCAGGATTTGAGGTCAAGGGTTGAGGATTAGCATCCTAATGCACCCTGCAAGGCCACCTGGACCGTCTTCTATTGTAAGGCATATAGTGTCCTTCAAATCACTGTGTGTCACTGGGGGTGGGCTTTGAGGTTTCAAAAGCGCCTATGAGGCCCAGCACCTCTCCCTGCTGTCCGTGGATCATGGTGTAGAACTCTCAGCTCCTTCTCCAGCACCGTGCCTGCCCATATGCTGCCATGTTCCCTGCCATGACGATAATGGGCTGAACAGCCAGCTCCAGCTAAATGTTTTTCTTCCTAAGAGTTGCCTAGGTCATGGCAATAGAACAGTGACAGTCACTGTTGTCAGGGCACTGTCTGAGCAAGAGGCCAGGGTTCCACCGTTTCCCAGGGTAACCTTCAACAGCTGCATGCCTTCTCTGAGGCTTAGCCTTCTACTCTGTCCCATGAAGGGCATGGCCTCTGCAGGTCACTAAACTGCTCTTGTCATCTCCTGGGGACTGCAGCAAAATAGGCCAAGGCTTGGGCTTCTAGCAGAGTCCAGCTTCAATGATCATGGGCTCTCAGCTTAACACACATTTCGACAGTCTGACCAAGGCCTTGGTTGTCTCTGGCCTGAGGAAGTCAGGGGAAAAGAAAAGGCATTCGGACTTGTCAGCCACACTGTGCCTAATCAGCTAGCGAAGTCATCCACTGACTCTGAGCTGTCGCCAGCTGGGACCTTCCAATGGCTGCCTATTCTGGCTTCCTGCGTATAACATTCATTGCTCCACAGGGTGACGGTGTGACCTGGCTTAGATGATGTGTTCCACGTCTGCTTGTGGAACATCATCCCTGCCCCAGGGGTCAGGAAACTGTCTGGGCACCAGAGGCTCCCTGGATGTAGGCTACCACAGCTTCTCTGCTGTGGGTAGGGGCAGGGGCCGCAGTGGGTGGGTGAGGGGCACACTCACTTCTCTGTGTGCAGTTAGGGGGTGGGAAGGTGGTACTATATAAGAATGCCTTTACCATGGGCTTCTGGTTGGTGAGATGTTCTGGGTTGTGGGACTGGAAGCTTGAAACGGGGAGCCATAGCCCTCAGACGGAGGAGGGGGGCTTCGTGGAAGTGATGACCAGGCCATTGAAGAGCCTTATTTCGACCTCCATCCTTTCTGTTTGCAAAAGAACAGGGAGGACTGAAGGAGGCTCGCAGTAAAGATGGCTGTAGGAAGTAAGTCTGGAAGCCATCCCCTGGCAGGAATGGTTGGAGGGCAGGAAAGATCCAGAAAGATGGAGAGCTTTTTGATGTGAAGGAGACAATCAGTGCTATCTCAGGATGGACTGACTGAGAAATGGATCCCTCCACCCATCTCTCCATTCATCTACCCATTTACCTCCCTACCCATGTCAGCATGCATGTAAAATCTACTATACACCCTTTCAACCACTCACATCTGCTTCCGTACCCAGCCTACCTATTTAATCAGCCACCCACTCACCCACTCATTTACTCTTTCCCCACCCACCAATCCTCCCACCCATCTTCCCTCTCACTATCTACCCACCCATCCATTCAGTACCCATCTGTCCATCCATCCATCCACCTACTCATTCACCTACCCAAATACTCACTCACTCATCCATCTGCCCATGCATGCATGCATCCATCCATCTGTCCGTCCATCCACCCACCCATTCACCTATCTATCCATCCACCCACTCGCCCCTCCTCCTCCATATCCCCCAATTCACCTGCCCACCAACCCGCTGAGAGACAAGGTGGCATAATTGTTCAGAATGTACCTCCAGGCCATCGCAGGAGTGCCAAGAGTATCTGTCCTCCAAGTTTTTCAGTCATCCCCATTGCTGACTTGTCTTATTGCGTAGGCAAGCCAAACCATTTCCCTCTGATGTCAAAAGGGAAGAGAAATGCTTAGAGTCTGTGTAGGTCACAGACAGCTGGTGAACTGCCAAATGCCATTGACCACCCGGACAGATGTACTCATGGCTAGACCTTCATCTCGGGGAGGCGGTGCTTCCTCTGACACCCATCTCCTTGAAGGGAACAGATATATGAACCTGTCACCCTGGGAAGCACAGCTGTCTCCTGCTGCCTGGCCTTGGACACGGAGGACGATGATACTTCATGCCCTGTCGTAATCCCTGGAGACTGCTTCTCAGCTCTCCTTGCCCGCCTGTGGGAACCTCTGAGGGGAGCTGAGAGCTTCCTGCACACCCGGTCCCCAGGGACTCACCACTGCGGAAGCAAATGGAACTGTGCAGTTGGCGTAATTTGCTGATTTACTTAAGTAGCAACCCCAGTTAGAGGCATGACAGAAATCCATTAGTGCGGCTCCGCCCCCCAGCTTTGCCTGCACGGGAAGTGGAATGGATGGGTGGTGAGAAGCGGAAGCCAGGATGAGTCAGGGATGCAGGCAGCCAGTGGTGGCCACCCTGTCTGTCCATCCATTCTCTTGCCACCTCCTGGTCTGGTTCTTGTCCTGTGCTTGGGGAAGGACTGGAAAGGCTTCCAGGCTGACTCTGAGGGTCTGTTGGCCTTGAAGGGCTCCAAGTCAGTGGCCCAGAGCCACTGAGTTAGTCAGTATGTGTAAACCACCCCTGCGCCTGAGCTGTGGGCCCCTCCAGTCTCTTGGCTTCAGCTCAAGGTCCTCAGATGTGGAGTGGACTTCATGATAGCTACCTTAGATGGCTCTGTAGGGGATCAAGATCTCAGTGACACTAGGGTTGCCTGAGGTGGGCTCCAGGGTCAGGTGGTCTGTGATGCTCCTCCCTGCAGCTCTGCCCACTCAATCCCCAGCTCTGGCAAGCTGCCCTTGGGTCACAGTGTAGCTCTATGCCACAGAGCTGCAGGTGGCTTTGTTCACCAGACTTGTGCTGGGAACAGAGGTGGGTGGAGCTAACATGGCCACTCCCCTGTGTCTGGGCTTTCCACCAAGGGCTAGGTTACAGTAAACCTCAGGATGGTGCTTGGTGGTGGAGAGCCATATATCCCATGGCCTCATTGGAAACTCCCAGGCGAGGGCACAGCTCCTGCAAGGCCCCAAACCCCAAATGCCTATGACAGTGGCCAGTACCTCAAAATGAGTGAATTAGACTCTGAGATGTCAGGACTGGTGGGAACTGGAGAAAACGGGCATTTTTATCCTGTCAAAGGGGATACGCAATCAGCACTTCATGACTGAGCCAGGATCACCAAATGTTAATAACCGTATAATAGTAATGATGATGGAATGATGAGGGATTTGGGGGGAAAAAGAACACACTATTGTACTCCAGGTGTGGGTGTTTGCCAGGAAGGGGAAGCGAGAAAGGGTGAGTTGGCCTTAACTGTCTTTCCGGTAGTTGTGTAAATGATCTAGTGGCTTCTGAAGTTCTACCTCCGAAGGTTTCTAAATTCTTTCTGTCTGTCTCCCTGTCTCTGGCTCCGGGGGGGAGAGGGGTTCTGAAGTGCAGTAGATAGGTTTACTGTTGATAAGATGAAGCCCTGGGTCAAGAGGGTCACCCAGGTTGCTGAGAGTTGTTTTCACCGAGAATGAAGTTGATCTCTTTGTTAGTGAGATTCCCAGAAACCGCAGGTCCCCCGTGGAAAGAACTAAGGGAACATTCCAGGCCACACGCACAGGCTTTGAGCCCAACTCACTGTCACTTTAGCATTACAATCTGAAGTCTCTCTGTGTGAAAGGGGCACCGGCTATGTTGGCAAACCTGATCTTCAGATAGTGAGAAGCTTCAGCCAGCCTCAGTGGGGGAGGAGCTTCTTCCCATTCCCATGCCCTCCCCCCCCCCTAATTTTTCACTTCTCTGTTATGCAGCAGGAAGTTCATGGAGTCATGCGGTATCACACAAGGCTCTAAGGCTGACCTGCCCATCCTGGCTCTCACCTGGGGGTGGGAACAGGCTTCTTCCCAGAATGCACGTGGCAGCTGAAAGTCAACACAGTTGTTGAGTCAGGTTCCAGATCCTGAGCGTAGGTTACGGAGAAGACAGGCAGAAGAGCAAACTTGGTTCTCCTAGGCTGTGTGTGTGTGTGTGTGTGTGTGTGTGTGTGTGTGTGTACATAGGTCCATGTCACTCCTCAGGCACTTTCTGTCTTGATACTTTAGACAGCAGCTTATCAGGTAGGCTAGGCCTGCAGTGAGCCCAGGGACCCACCTCCCTCTACTTCCCTGGACTGGGATTACAAATGTGTGCTGCTAGGCCTGGATTTAAAAACAACAACAACAACGACACAGGTTCTGGGGCTGGAGCAAAGCAAACACTTCAACTAAGCAGCCCAATATTTCATTTTTTTTTTCTTTTTCTTTTTTACTCAAACCAGGGTTTCCAGAGCGCAGCAGCTGAGGCAGAGGGCTGAGCGGTGGGCATGAAGGAAGGGCATGGTAACTGGCTTTCTCTGGGCACCACTGGTCACTCCGAGGCTGTTACCCTCCTCTTTTTTGTGACGTGATTGTGTAGTTCTTGGGTGTGAACTTCACAGATGGCATCAGGTCATAGGGTTCAAAAGACTGGGCATCCCCAGGCCTTGTTTTGGCTGTGAATTCCATGTCAGTGCTGCCCAGCACTGGGGTTTTCTGAGAGCAGCGTCTCTGAAGCTTTGAGCTGGGCTTTACAAAGAACTTGCATGTATAGATCCGTGGTAGCTGGAGCTGGCGGCCCTGTGAGGATTTCTTCCAGCTGGAAGCAGCCAGAAGGAAGGGAAGCAGAGAGGAACGAGGCCCTGCAGCTTAGGTGCTGGGAGGATGTTGCCCTTGGGCTCAAGGGCTGATGTCCAGTAGAGGCCACGCAGGCAGAGCCAGAGGAAAGACTGGATCACGGCCTCGTCCGATTCAGACCACAGGCTGGGAGCAGTGAGGTCCCCCCCTCACTGATGGATTGCTGTGGCTGTCCCCAGCGATCTCCCCTTGATGGCTCTGTGGCTTCCACAAGAGCCGCCAGCAGCCTGCTCTGTCATGTCCACCCCGCAGGCAGCCTGCCCTACGAGTACAAGATCGTGATTGCGGGCAACCACGAGCTGACCTTCGACCAGGAGTTCATGGCTGACCTCATCAAGCAGGACTTTTACTACTTCCCATCTGTGTCCAAGTTGAAGCCGGAGAACTATGAGAACGTGCAGTCACTGCTGACCAACTGCATCTACCTGCAGGACTCGGAGGTCACGGTGCGTGGCTTCAGGATCTACGGCTCCCCGTGGTGAGTGTGCCCAGCCCTCGTCTTCAATACCCGTCAGGGGGAGGCAGCGGGTGGTGGTAGCTCTAGTCTCCCAGAAGTTCTCAGGGCTCATGTCAGGACGCTCAGGGCCAGTGCAATGAGGACAAGAGGATCTGGTACGTAATTTTGTCCCTCTCACCCTCTGTTTGACCAAGGCAGGCCACTGTCATCCCTTGGGCCTCAGTTTCCCCATCTGGAACCAAGGAAGGGTAACTCATTTATATCCTCTGTGCTATCTGTTTTCCATGCAGGAAGTTGCTGTTGACTCCAAATCACTGACAGTGATGATGATAAAGAAACTGAGGCTCAGAGAGAGTAAGGACCTTCTATGATGACACAGCTAGTCAGGGGAGAGGCTGCAGGGATTTCTTTCAAACAGGAGCCTCTAGCACTAGCCCTTTCTGCCTGTCTTCTGTTTACCACAGAAAGGTGTACTGTTGTTAGAAAGACAATCGATCCACCTAACTGAAGGAAGACATCTGGGATTGTCAGGTGGATTCACTGATGCACACCCCTGTGTGGGGAACAGCAGCTGTTTGAGGACAAATGCACGGTGCTGAATAAACCTTATTCTGATGGAGACACGTGATGGAGTGGGCCTTCTTTCAGAACTCACCTGGCTGGGTGGTGCTCAAAGTGACCAGGGGTCCAGAGTAGCTTTGTGATGGTCAGTGTGTCCAGGACAGTGGTATTGGCTGTGACAGTGCAGCCATGGACACCGATGGTGACAGTGAAGATGGTGACAGTGATGATGTCAAAATGGCAGCGATAATGGTGATGGTGGTGGTGATGATGGTTATGATGAAGATGGTAATGGTACCGATGATGGTGCTGATGATGGCTGTAATGGTGGTGATGATGAAGGTAATGGTGATGATGATGGTGATGAATGGTGATGTGACGATGATGATGATGGTTATGATGGTGATGAAGCTGATGATGATGGCAATGTTGATAAATAATGGTGATGGTAACGATGGCTATAATGGTGATGATGAGGGTAATGGTGATGGTGCTAGTGGTGATGATGGTTATGATGGTGATGATGATGGTGATCATGGCAGTGGTGAGGTTGGTAGTAATGAGGATGGTGGTAGTGATGGTGATCAAGTGATGAACAAGATGGTGGCCTTTCTGCTGCTGGCTGTGGCATCATGTGATTAGTCGATGAACCAAAACCTCCGAAGTCCTTTTGTGGGGCTGATTTGTTATCCAGCTTCCACAAGTGGACAGATCTATTGGCCTGGGTGTGGCCACAGGGTATGAAGTGCTGGCAGGGTAAGAGGAAGCTCCCAGAGGAGGTGGATGACCCCAGCCTTTGAAGGCAGGGAGGCAGTGGCACTGACTGGGGACATAGGCATCTGCAGGGTGGAGGGCTCCTGGTGAGCCCAGTGTATCTGGGAAGCCCTGGGCCACGGTGTTCGAAGCCCCTTGGTGACTGAGGCTGAGGTAGGTTTAGAACCTGTCTGGATCCTATAAAGCCCAGGGGAGAAGGGGCGGGGCCAGCCTGACCCATTCTCCTGCTCCTGGAGGAGCCTGCTGTCTCTACCTGGAGCTCATGGTGCTCATGGGTTCCAGGTACTCTCCTGCTGCTTGTGAAGGGTTTTGGGGCACTCAAGGATGTGAGGGACTTGAAAGCAAAGGCAAGGAGGTGAGAAGGTGGCTGAGGCCAGTGTGGAGAAGCCTGCTCATGGGACAACTCATCAGGGGCACATGCTGGGAGTGTGAGCAAAGGCTTGGATCCTAAGGCCAGCACAATCTGGGCGGGGCAAAAATGGGGTGGGGCCATCAGGGTGAGAGGTGGAGGCTCTGAATATGAGGTCAAGAATCAGGACTGGATCTCTTTGCTTTGTGGTTTACAACCCGCCTCAACACACACACACACACACACACACACACACACATACACACACACACACACAGACCCCTCCTTAAATAGAGGTTTTGTAAAGATTAAAGGCATGGCTTAGAGACCTGAATAACTTTAGCCTTATGGTTTGTAGGCTGTGTGACCCTGGGCATCACTGGGGGACCTCTCTGTTCCTTAGCCCACTTTCCTACAGAATGGGAGTGGCAGTGTGCCCTCCTCCAGTGAGTGGCAGAGGGCTCCCCTGAGCTCATGGCAGTCGCCATAAGTGCTCAGAGAATGGAGACCTGTTTTATATGCCTGTTACAGGAATGCCCTTCCTACATGGTCTAGTAGGATGAGGGGAGTGGAGAAGATGGACAAGGCTCTCAGGGTCCCACCACCCAGCAGCTAAAATCACCGACATTAGGGCTTCCTAGGTGTGGTCCTCTGTCCAGTCCAGGGGAGGTTACACCCCATCACTGAGTTGGCCATGAGGATGAGGCTTGGGTGAGGCCAGCTGCCAATTCAACTGTCGTCCCAGAGGTCCCATTTCATTTGTGGCTTTCATTTGTGACATTACTGGCCTCTTTAGTTCCTGGCTGCTCTCAGGTCCAGTGAGCAACAGGATCCTTTCTTCCTCACCACAGACCTGTGTCAGTGGGAGCATAGACTGCTCAGCAGAGTAAATGAATAGGGTGTGTGTGTTAGGGATGGGGAGGCAGTAAGCTGTTTAGTTGTGCTCCTGAAAGAGCATAATGAGATCCAGGATGCTCCTGTTGGACTGGGCTTTAGAACTGGTACAAAAGGAGGTGTGGCTCAGGGAAAGGGACTCTCACATTTCACAACCTGGCCATGCTATGTACCAGGCTTTCCTTGGCTTGGTGACATTAGCATTCCCAAGGCCATTCTGCGTGCATAGTTCTGCCCATTTCTTTGGGGCTGGGAGCAGCCTGACGAACTGACAGTATTTTCCTACATTCAGCTGAGATTACTTGGATCTGTTTCTGTGGTACTGGAAGAATTGAGCCCTGAGAGCTGGGACCAGCATGCTGGTGAAGCTGGGTCTCTGGGAGTGTGCCTCAAACACAGGCTGCACAAACCAAGGCACCACTGCTGCGGCCCTGTGACGCTGGGTAACTGTGCCTCTGTAGTTCCATGGGGAAATGGTGCATTCTATCAGGACTTAGGGTCAGTGTGGTTCTGTCTGCTTGAAGACCTAGAACAAGGTAGGTACCAGTAGTGGATCATGGTTCTTGTAACTCATGTTTGGAAGCAGGTTAGCTCTCTGCCAGCTGAGGGTTAGGCTAGCATCCACCCCCATTTTACAGTTGGGCAAGAAGAGGTCCAGGTGGGCACACGGTTAAGCCAGGATTTCCAAGGCCCCAGACTCCTAGCCAGCTCCTGGCGAGCTCTGCCCTCTCTGTAGTTGAGATCATGCGGTATTTTTCTAAGTACCACTTGGGTGTCCTAGGGGACACGGAGGGCTGAGAATCATCCTCTCAGATTATCAGTAAATGCATCAAGTCACCCACGGGTATTTATTGAGAGCCTAGACCCCACCGAGCTCTGTGGACTTGGTGGCAGCTCACCACTGCAGACACTGACATCTGAGTTTTTGCCCTGGTGGCAAATGATGGTCAGCAGCTGTCCTCTGGATTTAGGAAGAAACCCTGGAAGTTGGGGCCATGGAAAAGCACCACAGAGAGAGCCGGGAATTAAAGCGATCACAGAGCTAAGGAGGTGGGGGTTGGTGTGGTGTGGCTGTCACAGGCAAAGGCCAGGACGCTGGAGAGGGCACCAGGCTTGTGCACACTGTAGTGCTATTTCCAGGCTCTGAGTGGGTCACGGTAAGAGACAGCAGCCACAGGCTGGGCAGCCTAGGTCCTTCTACCCCTGGGTCTGTGACTGGCAGCCCTGCCTTCCCCCAAGCTACTGAGAACCAGGATTTCCAGAGTAACTGTCCCTCCAGGGAGGGAGTAAGTGAGGGCCAATGCCACACTGAGATGGGTGCTTGGGACCTGCTGCCTTCCGGTGGCTCTTTTCCAGGGCAGCCTTATGGATCCTGCCCCACTCTGCATGTGTGCATGCGGCTGCACAACTCAGGGATGCTCACCTAGAGGGAAGCTGTGTCACTGCCGGGCCGTGTGTGTACCTGTGGGTTACAGGTGACCTCCCTTCTCTATTCCCTGGTCTCGGGAGGCCCGGGGGGCAGCCATCATGCTCCTGCAAATGAGGTTTCTGTGTATCTCATCAGTGTTCCTGGCCTAGTGAGCTGGCCCTGCCACTGAGCTGCACCTGCATTGACCAAGCTATACAGCCCCCCTGAGGCTCAGTGTCTGGCCAGCAAATGTGACAGTGACATCAGGTCACAGCGTAGGGATGTATATTACCCTTCCAGGTCCTTTTGGTGGAGAAGGGACCCTCCATGGCTGCTGTCCTGGGGATGCCAGAAGCCACACACATGGAGTGGAATAAACCAGCCCTTAAAAGTGTGTTCATAGCTTCAGGACCTCCTAGTCTGGCTATGGACTCCGCCCAGACCTGGGTGAAGTGTGTGGGATGAATCCCGCACCCCCCCCCCCCCCCCCCCCCGGGGGGAGGGGTGGGGGGGGGACCCCCCCCCCCCCCCCCCCGCACCAGCTGTGTCCTGAGGTTTGAGGTAGACACGCTCAACCTCTGGTGAGCTACCCCCAGGTCAGCGCATGGTGGGACAGACAGACTGATGGTTCTTGAATACAGATGATTCAAGACATGCCTAAAGCCCTGGACATATTGCCTGATGCCTGGAGCTCAGTGATCTTTCCAGCTTCAGGGGCGTGGTTTATGCCAACAGGAGGTTGGGATAGACTACACAGCATAGGAGGGAATAAGCAGGTTGTCACCATGGTGGGAAAAGTGTCATACACAGGTCTGCAGTATGAGAGCCCATGTGGCTTTAACAAACAGTGATCTGCTTGACACGAGGGGCGTGCAAGCAGGGGTCTGCATGCCGGCAGAGATTTCAGGTAGCTGCCTTCAGACACCTTCCCGCTTCTACGTGGTGAGAGCTGGGGATCCAAACTCCACAGGGCCATTTCCCCAGTCCTCCGATCTCTTCGGCAAAGTCGGTTTGCCAAGTGACATTCCCTGCCAG